TTTCATATGTGCAGTTGGGCAGGATGGAAGTTTTTGGCAAGGTCACTTGCACAGTAAAATGGAAAAAGCCAAAGAGGGGATACTTTAAAAAGAAAAGAAAATGAAATCCCAGTTTCATATAACTTGAAACTACCTCTTTTCTATACTTCTTCACCACATGAAAACAGGAAACACTGCTTTAGGATTTTTTATTCCTTCTTCTCAGCAATATTAAACATTTTATGAGCACAGATAGTCCAAAAGGAACACTGTGGCAGGCCATAAACTGTAGAAATGTATATCCTCCAGATACATGTAACAGGAGTACACACAGATGGCAGCAGTACTGAAGCTAGTTATAGCTACGTTTTAAACAGTCTTTTTCAACTAAAACAAAATTCTGGCTTCTGAGAATGATTTTTAACAGCCACCAAAAAAAGACAAAACCACCTCACTTTGCCACTGTAACAACCTTAGCAGATATGCTAATTCCCTTTTACTTGAATTTTTTTTGCTCAATACCATGGAGTAAAGGGATAATTTAAATATAAACAATCTGCCAACAAAACAAAACCATTTTTTAAAGTCTGAACTTGGCAAAACAAAGAGTTCCAGCCTATAATTTCCTTTCAGCTGCTTTGTTTTCCTATTGCTTTTCCTAATTAAACAAAACTTTAATCATGTCAAAATGTCCTTTACAAGGAGAAGTGGTCATTTATATACTTAAATTCTGGCACTTTTTTTTTTTTTTTTTTTAAAAAGAGAGAGTAGGCTTTTGCACTGGGACAAAGAGCAACATTGATAAAATTTGATAAATGAAGAAAGCTATAGGCTGTTATATATGTGAAAATACTGCTAAGCAATAGAACATCGAAGAAGAGAGTATTAATAAAAACATTTTACTAGTTTCATAATCTGTTACTCACACTGACCGAACACACCGAAAAGTATGAACCCCGTTTTCTGCTCAGCTCGCTATTTAGTGAGGACACTGCGACGTTTCCTGCAAGCATAAGGCTGAATTTTGGAGCAACAGAAGTAAAATATCTTAAAGAACAACAGGAATTATTCTTCACTGAAAACCATTACTTTTGAAAGTAATTTTGCAGATGAAAGACTGTTTTCATGGATAAAACACCTTCCGTGTATTTTAGCAGCCCAACAGAAAAGAGCCCATACTTACCACCAAATTCTTACCCATGGAAACTTTTTGAATCCCATCTGGCTTAAATATGGCTAGTAAAATTCTGATAGCTCAGTCCCAGAAAAGGGTTTTATCCTGAAAAGGTCAGCGCCTCATTAAACAAACACATGTTTCTTCATGATTTAATCTACAAGACATTTCTCACTTTAGAAAATTTCAAAATAAATTCAGTTTTTCAAGTTTCGGGAGAAAAAACTTTGTCTTATTTTTAGATTTTAAAATCGTGAAAAAAGAATTCTAGCAACTATTTCTATAAAAACAGGCTTGCATGTCAGCAGATGACAGGCCAGATGGCCAAATCAATCTGGAAATCTGATGCATCTCCATAATTTTGGAAAATTAACACAGTAATCATCAACTGTAACAATAAATCAGCTAATTTCCCCAAACTTTCTACACATTTTTAACAAGTCTAAGGAAAATGGCACAGAAACAGCTTTTTAGACATTCCACTTTGGAGTTTGTTTAGATCTCCATACACTAACATTTTCACTTATCAGAACCAAGAAAATGAAGGTGAGGAGGAGCTGACAACCAACCACCTCTATGGAAACACATTAAAACGGAACCAAGGATGAGACCAAATGGAAATACTTGATTATAATGAAAGAGCAAATTATTAGAGTCCAGTTTGAAGATGCTCTTTGCCAAAGGACGCCCTTCCCTCTGCTGAGGCACATCACTACAGGAAGCTAAGATAATACAGCCAAATCACTTCACAAAAGACAGCAGAAGTGACACTGCGGATGTCAGTTTCTGAATGTAAATTGATTTTGAGAAGTCTACAAAGCCTCAAAGCATGAATCAAGCTGAACACTTGGTTTTCCAAAGAATATGAGATCCAGCATTTAGGTTTAAGGGTTACAGAACAGTACACTGCGGCGTGAAACACACGGAGGTGAGAAACGTGAGAGCCAAGAGTGCAAAGAGGCCTCTGACAAGTTACTTTAATTGCATAATCAAACAGACCAAGTGAATTTTTAGTTTTCAAATACCAAATCTGGGATGAAAAAACTATCTGTAGATGCTATCGTCTTCTTGACTACCATAAACTTTTTATACCACAGCAAATAAAAGCATTAGAGAATAGTCAAAGTCTATCTTTAATTTGCACAAGAAATCATTATGAGGGAAAGAAAGTCTCTCTCCTCCTAAAGTATTTAATAATATAGAAAATTTTAAAACGATATACTGTTCATTTGTCAGTAGCAATGATAGCCAGGTTGCTTATCATAAATAACAAATGTTCTTTACACAGATCTAGAGGACACAACCCAGATAACAGTTTCATGGGCAGCTAGTGCTATTCTTTGATTAATATTGGTGCTTTACAAAGTAAGTTTCATCTCCGGTACCAATCTGTCATTTAAGAGCAGGTTAGTTCTGAGGTGCTTTTCCAAGGGGGCTGTCTAGCCAGTTTCAATCATATCATCCGTTGCTAGTAGCTAGAACTGATAGCTACCAGTAGCTATAAATGTTAAATTTTTATGGGCTAAAAAGCATCAAGAACACTACTACTGATGCTGATTTTATTCTATATTCAATTTTAGTTTTAGCTCTTCACTGAAAAGGAAAAATTATTTTTCCTACAACTAATTTGAACACTAAACTATTTTAGAATAAAAGACTATTTTAGTCTATTTTAACAAAATATTACTGACTGATCAAAAATATGAATAAACATTCAAAAGGTATTTTGCTTTCTATTCATTTTGAGAATGTTAATGATGTTAGGAAACTAGACAGAAAACATAAAGGACTGATTACTGCTCCTTAAAAATGTACAAGAAGCATATCAACACACAATGTAACAAATTCAGATCCAAATGTGTTCAAGTACAGCATGCTCTGAAACAAATAAATGTAAAGTAGGTTTTCTGATGTGCACTCTCACTGTTGTCTGTCTCAGCTCCTAGCAATCACTTTGAGCACACTGACCAATTTCAACCAAATCCAAGGGAAAAGCAGCTCTTGGTCTAGGTGGTAGCAGAGAAGGGGAGGGACATTGCTACCTAACATCCCATTCTGGAGAAAGCTCCAGTGACTGTTCAGGCATCAGTGTGGTTGGATCAACACTTGTAGATGTGGAAGACAGCGCTGTGGGTTTTCCCATGTTACATACTCACAGTTGCAGGATCTGTGTTTGCAGGTATACAAGTCTGACCAAGGCTTTTTTAGAATCACTGTTAACAAGAGTTACCACCATTTATTTCATAAAATTCAACAAATACTTAAAATACTTCAAAAAGCAATGCACAATCAATATGTGTTAATTATATCTTAAAAATAAGAAAAACATTCAATATGTATATTTACTGGTAATTGCACATTTTTTAAAGACCTTATTTAAAAGCTGAAGTGCTTCTTAGATCAAATCAAACAGGCAGAGTTGCAGCCACAAATTCTTGGCCAAAATTCCCAAACTCCTTACCTAAGCGTTTACAATAAGAAGCACAGACAGAAATAGTCCATCAGGTACCATGAATGCTTCAGAGTAAACACATTAGATTTAACATAATGGAAACCCTTAAATGCCCTAGGGTTGCTTTTGCGCTTATATAGCTGAGTTAGGACTGTAAGCTTATGCTGCTTGCCTTTGAACAACTTGAAGAGCTTTGCAAATATCAACACCGTCTCTGTGACTGCAGGCAGAGCAGCAGCCTCGACTGCCAGAGCCTCCGGCCCAGCTCCATTTCACCACTTTAAATGATGGGAGGAGAAAAAGGAGGTGGAAGAAAGGGAAAAGAAAATAAAGAAATAATATCTTCCAATCATAAGTTGCCTGTTTTCAAAGAATGGCATCAGATTTTCCCAACATATCAGTGCCAGCAGTGTATCTGTTTTCCTAGCTTGTTTTTAACACTATACATACTAGTAGGTACACTGATTTAGGACACCATCTTTTGTACCTGAACTTTAAAGGCACTTCTGCAGGCTTGGTTTTCCCCCAAAGGTCCTAACATCTGGCAGAACATATGGCAGAAAGAAATCCACCCCCCTTAAATTCACTCCTACACCTCTGACACGCATTTTTGACATCACAGTTACTGCATAGTTACCTCTGCAGAGACAGAGCCTGGGACCTCATCAGTCTAACTCAAGTTCTTGACAGTTTTTCCTCTTAGCAGTGCAGAGTATCTTACCTGCACTATGAAATATTTCTGACACTTGAGTCTCAATGACATCTTTTGAATTCTGTTTCTGACCCATTTCATGACCATATCATGAAAGAAGCTATTTTTCCCCAATCTACTTTCTTGAGACTTACAAGTTATAACAACCTTTTCAGCATTTACAGTTAATCCCTGGACTAAGGGCGTCTCTGATACAGCGAATTCTTCCTTCATATTCTATGGGCAAATCCACAGACAAGGATTTGGTGAGGTAACATCCTTTCCATGTTAGTTAATGTACATCATCATTCACAAAACAATGTACACTGCTATAGAACATAAGGCCTCTTCGGATTCTACAAATTTAAACGGAAGTGACAGAGGTCAAAAGAGATCTTCACTGAAGCAGAGTAAGGAAGCATTGCATTAGAAAGGTACCATCAGTGCAAACTACATTAAGCTGTAGCAACACAGAGATAAAAAATAACAAAACACTGAAAAACACAGAAAAAAATCTTGTAAAGACTTCTTTGAACTCACAAATATGTATTAAGGAAAAAAAATGACCTGATACCTCCTTGTAAAGCCCTGCTAGGAGCTTCATCTTTTTTTTTTTTTTTTAAATCTTCCTAACATTTTAATTTTCTTTAATTTTATTACTCAGTATTGTAAGTCATAAAGTTAAAAAAGGAGGAAGAACTTACTGGTATTGAGAACTCCTCTGCCAAATACTTCAACAGTGATGCTTCTTTAGCCAAGAAGTTACTTCTTTCTGTCAGGTTGCCTTGGAGCTTTGGATCAAACTCCTTTCTGACAACTGACGCAACAGAATCGATTATTATGAGCTTAACCTTCTTTGAAATAATTTCTTCTTCCAAAGATTTAATCCTATAAAACAGTAACTTAAAGTTAGCCACACATTGTGTTTTACAATCCTGAAATTGTTCAAATAAAGGTACATTTTAGGGTCAGCTCCTCTTTCTCTCTCATACCACTCCTACAACATCTGAATGCTTTAAAGAGATCTATCTGAAAAGGAATCTCAGGATGCAAAGGGACACATAAGCCAGGGCAGGAATCCTTCCAAAGAGGGATCTGGAAGAATCTGTAGTGAGCAACACTATCCTGTACAGCCCTTGAATGGTGCAGAAAGTTAAGCAGACACTGAAACTGTGCCTTTTTGCTCATAGTAGCATCCCACTGCGAAGACCAGAATCCTCAGCATCTATGCATACAGAAAGCCAAAATAACCTTTCTCTATACTTCAGACACAGCATGCTAAACCTAATCCATCTATAACACAATAATACCTACACTTCTCTGATTAAAACTATACTTGAAGGAACAGGTATCCTGTCACTAGTGCAGAACGCTCACAAAGATGCTTAAATTAGAGCACGTGGCACAGGACTGCATCCAAGCGGGTTTTGAAGATCTCCAGAGAAGGAGACTCCACAACTTCTCTGGGCAGCCTGTTCCAGGGCTCTGTCACCCTCACTGTTAAGAAATTTTTCCTTAAGTTCCCGTGGAACTTTTGATGCTTCAGTTTCTGGCCGTTTCCTCTAGTTCTATCAGTGGCCACCACTGAAAAGAGGCCAGCACCATCCTCTTGGCAAATTAAACTAGTCTCTCCACAGAAATCAACAGGTCAAGTCAAACACCTGTTAACACTCTTCTTTTAAATGCTTACAAAGCTCAGATCATATGGAAGTTATCTATCAAAAACTGTTCATAAACTTTACAAATAGTGAGTAATGTCTTTTTGTGACAATTTACTTTGTAGGACCTGTTCTGGTATCAACATAGAAAGGCCTCAAAGAAATTAATTACTCTTCATAGAACTTTTCAATCCAGCAAATACTGTTGTAGATAGGCCATTTTGACTGCACTCTTTTTCACCTCAAGAAAAATACCTTTTCAGCACACTGCCACAGGTCAGCTCCCGATACAGGTGAATGCTGCGCGTCATGGAAAACAGCTTTTCCTCTGAGTCAAAATAAGCAGGGAATCTGCTTTCTGCTATCTCGAGCAACCTACAAAAAAAACAAAAGACAAAGCACTGAAAAAGCAATAGACCTACTGGGTAATAATAAAGCATCAAGGATTCACCATACAAAGTAAAGCAATGCTCAGAAAGATAGGTACGCACCAAATCTTTTCCAAAGGTAAAGCATACTTCAGTGGTCAGGCTAAAATCCTGGAAGTCAGAACATCTAGGTTCTCTTCACAGTGATGCTAGAGTCAGTGGTAAAGTTGGCCAAGACATAATATGCCTGTACAAAGAAGCAGCACTTCTCTAGCAGAAGAAAGCAGCAAAGTTCACAGTCACTGAATGCAAAGTTCTGAGTATTGCACTCAAGAGGCTGTGCACAATCGCCACGTATTCTCCTATTTTAATTATAATATTTAACTAATTTCTCCAACTTTCTACCTTTATCTTTCATTGAGATATAATAAAGTCTGTCATAAAGCAGGCTTCCTGTCACCATAGATGTTTGGCAATAAGCTGCTAACAAACAGATTTAGGACCTCTGCAATAAGAACCAGACAATATGGAATTAAGACTTCAAAGTATTTGAAGTCAATTGTGAATACTTGTAAGTATTAAAAACCATTTGTCAGGTGAAAATCTGTTCCTATATAGTGTATCCTCAAAAATCAGAGCAATTTCATTAAGATAGGAGATGTGCGCACTATTTTCATTGTGACAGTACCTCTTGGCAAAATAAGCTTAGAGAAATCTTAAGAAAATGTGGTTTTTAGAACATTAGGAAAAAAAAATTCAACATTGTCTCAAAAAGTATCCAAGGTACCTAGGCAAGTTGCCAGGTGGCTATGACAGAACATCTATTCCATCATACAGGACAGGTACAACTGACATGATACAATGATACAACTAGACAGCTTAAGTGGTAGCTCCAGTGAAGGATTTGAGTAAGTGATCTCCTGCCTGATTATTTTGTATTACCTCATTAGCAAATTCAAAACCCTGAATTACAACTGTTAAACATAGCACTGTTTATTACCATTGTAGAGTAATTTTATCAGACAACTGGTGATTAACTCTAAAAAGAGTCAAAGGAGATTTGATAGTTGGGTATTTGTCCTTTATGGTCAAGTACTCATATTCCAATGTAAAGCTTAACAATTTAGTGATGAAAGGCCAATATTTTCAATGAACTTGCATATATAAAATTACTGAGAATACTAAATGCCACACGTTTTACTGACTGACTGCAAATTCTCCTGAAGTCAGTGGAAAGAAGTTTCACACCTCTGGACACAGGGCAATTTCTTCTAGGTCAGTAAATATAGATCCAAGAATTTTAACTTTAGAAATCTGAGCACAAATCTGAGCAGAGTAAATATTTTTCACAATGAAGATATTTGGGGGAACAAAAATAAAAAATACTTATCATTTAAGCATACATCCTACACCCTATGAGCTTGGAAAGGGTGACTTCTAGTGGATGATATCCATAGATACAACTTACTAGTGCTATTAATCCTTTTAATTTAAGTCCCTTTTATTAAAGCCAGAAATGTTAAAGCTATTTTTAAAAATAGCAACAACAAGCTTGAATATTAATACGCCTGTCCCAGGGAAGAAATATCATTATAACAGACTATCTCATTCCTTTATATATACTGCTCATTACATCCAAACTGTCCCTGAAGTGCTTGGAGGGTCAGACTCTTGGCTCTGCATTTGCATAGGAAACCATGCACCTCATTTTGGATTCTGCAAGGGGTAAATAACCTGCGAGTTATTCAATTGTCAATATGAAAGGATGGGATACTTCCAGATGGGATACTTCCAATAAGCATATCACAGAGAACATCACCATTACACAAACTGACTTTAAATTACCTACTTACTGAAGTCTTGTTAAGTTCGCAGTACTATTTGCACAGCACCATGTAGGTTCAGAGTTCTTTAAGATCTAAATCCTGTTTGTTGTGGGGAACCCAAGCACTGCACAGAACATAAGTGACCTTCTCTGTAATCAGGCAGATCATGAGGTAGAAAATCCCTCAATAGTCTCAGCACTGGCTTATGAAAAATTGTATCCACTGCTTTTCAGAATCAACAAATACAGCTAAAGAGTAAGCAGACAAAGTTACTTTCAGAATTTCTGAACAGGTTTGGTACATGTTCAGTTAATAGTTGGCTATATTTGAAAAGCTACAAAACCCATTACGATAATTTTAATTTCCAGAATTCCGTCTACCTGCTTTGGTGTCCACATGTTGATGTGGTTACATCCTGCTTAAAGTAGGGTCAGCTATGAGGTGAGACCAGATTTTTCAAGCCTGGCTAGTCAGGTTTCAAAATCCTCCAAGGTAGCACAGCCTTTCTGATGAACCAATTCCTGTGCCTCACTAACTTCACGTGAGCATCTTCTCCTTATATCCATTTGAAACTGGTCGTTTCAATTTATGCTTGTTGTCTCCCTGCTACTGTAGCACTGTGCTGGCTTTTTTTTTTTTTTTTGATAACCTCTTCCTAGATAGGGGAAAGACCACTATGATCCCCTCAACATTGTGTCTTCCTCAGCCTGTGTTCACAGACAAGTACTGTAACCTCCAACCATCTTGGTGGCCCCTCACTTACCTCACTCCAGTTTGCCAAGTCTTTGTTTTACTGGGGGCCCAAAACTGGACACAGTATCTAGATGTGGTCTAATGAGTAGCAGGTAGAGGGGGGTAAACCCCTCAGCGCTGGCTCTGTGAACTGAGCCCAGGAGGGTGAGGATCTTTACTGCCAGGGCACGCTGCTGCCCCACCGAAGCCTGATGCCTGTCAAGACCCATAAGCCCCTCCCAGCAGAGCTGCTCCCCGGCCAGTCGTCCCAGCATGTGTTGTTGCAAGAGATTCCTCCTTTCTAGGTGCAGGAACCTGCCTCTATCCTGGCCGAATGTTATCAAGTTCCTGTTGGCCAGTTCCACCAGTCTGTCTAAACCCCTCCAAATGGTAGTGTCACCCTCAGGCTTCTAGACAAGTCCCCCCACAATCTAGCATCAACTGAAGACTTAGCACAGTGCACTTGATCTCCTTCCAGGCCACTGGCCAAGCTGTAGAACAGGACACATCCCAGAACAAACCCTCCTAACCCAGGACCCCACTGGTAACTCCAGAGTATGACTCACTAACCACTACTCTGAGCCCAACCAAGGCCTCACCTATGCAGCTCTCCCCCCATTCAGATCGCACCATCCTAACCTGGATACTGTGGGGGATTGTGTTGAAAGCCTTTCTAAAGTCAAGGCATTGACAAACTTTGTCTTTTTTGCAAGGAGACCCATTAGGTATGATTTACCCTTAGTACATCCACTCTAGTTCTTCCAAATCACCACCACCTTCACACATGGGAGCATTTTCACACTGTTATCACTTCTAACATTTCTTGTTCCTGTTACCCGATAAGCTTTGCTTCCAAATCCTGTCCACTGCTACCTCCTCTGCAATTCCTAATTTAAAACTCTCATCAGACTGACCAATCTGGTGGCAAAGATGTTCTTGCCCCTTGTCAAGGGGGCCCCACTTCTCTGTAATAGTCCTCCATCCTCAAAGTGAGTCTCACCAGCTGCACAACCGGGGATCAATCCACAGGATTTGTCTGCTTTTCCCAAGCCTTTCCCAACAGAATCTAGGAGAACACCACCTGGGCCACTGGGTCTGACTTATCCTCAGAGCCATGGAGTCCCTCTTGCCACACTCACTGCTAACAACACGCATACATCTGTGCTCTCAACCAGGCAGAGCACATACTGTCTCCTGTCCATTCAATTGTTAGGAAAGACAGTAAGTGCACAGATGAGTAGTTCTTATTGTGGGGGCAAAGCAGGATGAAGCAAAAATACTACACAGGGAATGGAATATTGTGTACTGCAAGGCCAATAACAGAGGAGGGGAATGAGGTTACTGCAGAAGGAAATCAGAAGAAAGGGAGGGCAGCAGCAGCTCAGCAATCTGAAGAAAAACGTTAGTCCTGATTAGGCAACAACTTGTATTTCTCTTGTACTTAAAATGTTGAGCTTTCACATCCTCAGAAAGATCCTTGCTAACTTCACAAACTATAGTATGAATAAATATTTTATGTATGGGATTGCTAAGATCATTTATAAATTCAAAAGAGTGTGATCCAACCATCATATCACAACTGGAATCCTGAGTATAATAAAAATTAAGGTAGGCAAATACTTCTAAGTGAATTATAACAGCTGAATGCTTAATAACTACCATAGGCAACTATTTTGGAAAAGCTTAATTATTGCTCAAAATGTATTTGATGCCTACAAGACAGAAAGACGCTACAAGACGCTAAAGAAACTGAAAGCATGTGTTATGGAATTATGTTCTTACCTTTCAGCACTGAACGCAGACTCGGTGTCAATGTATATAACAGCCCCATCCAGTCCTCCCATGCTCACAGGTAGCGTAGCCAGAACACTCATCATAATACAAAATTGAGTTTTGCCACAACCTGGCGGGCTTGTTAGCTAGAAGGAAAAGGTAACAGCAGAAGCAAGAGATGTCACATTCATTTCACTCCTGCAGTAAAATTCATCACTACTGAAAAATAAATAATTCCCCTTCAGAAGCAACTCTACTCTTGGCTTCATTTTTCTTTCTTCACCATCCCTCTTTCTCTGCTTTCTTACATCTCATCTTTGAGATGCTCTGTTCCCTTCCCGATTCACAAATAGGCTCTTCCCTAGAGCCACGGCCAGACTATTCATCTGCTTTGTGCTACCTTTTAAAATACAGCAAGGTGAAAGATTCACAGGCGGTATTCACATTACATTATGTCTGTGGCCATTAGAGCCCATATCTGCTTGAAAGCAAGTCAAAAGCTAGCAGATTCACAGGGCTAAATCACTGATGAGGTATCATTATTGCCTTGGTTACAATCAGGTCCCACTTGGAAACCACAAGTATAACTGCATATATCCTGTGAAGTCTGCATCTGTAATATGAACCACATACATACATAAGCAGATTTTATCTCTCCCAGAGAAGACATCTTTAATATTCCTGGTATAAAGTAACAGGAGATGCTAGATATTAGCTTATCATACTTCACTGAAATTATTATCTATTCAGCATGCATTTTGCCCTTGGTGTTACCTCCCTATCACCATATTTCAACACACACAGAGCATCTAACCAGGCAGGTAAGCATGCCAATTTTCAGCTTGCACCTGTACTTACTCAAAGCCTCCTGCGGTTGGGCATTATTCAAACAGAACGCATTCAGCTTGTGTGAAATGGTTCCAGAATGACTTTGATTCAAGAGCAAAACCTCAGCGATCAGACAATGACGTTGTTTGAGGGGATCCCCAGCCCCTGAGCACATGAGCTGTCTATGAGGGACGGCAGGAGGTCATTCTTTATCTACGCACGACTTTGCAGAGCCTGCAAATGCTGGACTCTGTTCAAATAACTGCACGTCCATTGGTACTATATTTTTTTCTAATGCAATATCATACTGTTGCTGCTTCTGGGAAGGGAGATGAGGACATGCAATTAATTCTAAGGGGACTGAAAAACAGAGTAAATATGAAGCAGAAATGACCTAACACACTAACAGTGAGAGCCATAGGTCCATTCTGATAGTAACCAGGACTAAATAACAATGCAGGAGAAATGAAAGCGTGCCCAGGAAAGCTACTCTACAAAATAAAACAGCCCCTCAAAATATCAAGTATTGCCAAAAGAGAGAATTAGATTCAGAGATAAATATATTGAAATTAAAAAAAAAAAAAAAAAAAAAAGAGCCAGAGCATATGACAGTTTGGTGTTAAGTACAAGCATTGCTTTAACTCAAGGCGCTACAGCTCTAGCATGCTGCCATTTTAAGCAGGAGCATTACCTACTGCTTCACTCTCCAGTTAAAATTCCCTCTCATCACTTTTGTCTTCAAAAAAGGACCAAAAATCAAGTCATATCCATCAACTCACTGCAAGCTTTCATTTACGGAACATACATGATGGCTTTTTCTTTAGGAGCATATGCTGCATTTAGTGAACTACCCATCAGGCACTAGCCATATTTATGCAAGTAGCAGTACCCCATCCATCATATCTAGTTTATAAAATACTGCATCAACAACAGCTGCCACACTTTAATGGGAACCCAAAGCATATATTAAAATTGCAGAGACAATACATATTTTTCAGACAGTGAGAGCCAAAGAATCCTAGCAGCTGTTTCTGTTTAACAAGTCAACTTGAAATGCATGAGGGGAGGTCATCAATCCAGTTCTTAAACTGAAGTGTTTGGACAACTGCGAGGAGGCTTCATAAAAACCTTTGAAAATTGAGCCCTGCCTGGGAGGTGCACTGAAATCCAAAACATTTCAGTGGTTAATTAATTAATACGCAAGTTATTTTAGCAGAGGTGCCATAAGCATGTCTGGGTAGGTCTGCACCCTAGCTGAGACAGAGAATCTTACAAAAGGACAAGAGAGCAACTCAGTGAAGCAGGAGAGAATTTCCATTCCAGAAGGCAGCACTACTTCACCTTTAATCAGCATTCAGTTAATAGACATTAAAATGGCATTTGAAGTAAACCACAATACACAATTTTTAAGACTATACCATTTTATTATGGCTACATATTATGGCATCAGCAAGCATTTTGAACAATACAAATGTAGCTGGAAAAAAAGGCTCAAGTGCCTCTAATACAATTTAACGCCAATGTCTGCACAAAGTTTGCTGAGCTTGCCTTACTCTAAATTTGCTTTTAAATCAAGAGTCCACACAGACAGAAATGTCAGAACTACAACAGTTTTTAATTTGTCTCTACCTAATAAAATATGCTTTTATTTTTCAGTAAGTTATATATTATTTTCCATGGCACATCTGTACAGTTTGGATAGAGTCACAAGGAACTAATTCTTCTTCACAAGAGGAGGATTAAACTCTTCAATATCCACAAACTTGAGCTTTCTCTCAGAGGAGCTGGCCAAAAGGTCTGACATCTGACCACAAAATTTCAGTCATGATTTCATTTCCAACCTAAACCCTAAAAGTGGTTTGGGAAAAATGGTCTGAGACAGTATAAGGCAAATGAAATCCCTCTGGCACTCGAAAAGCCAGCAGACTTGGCTGTAGAAGACACTGCCAGAACTCTTAACCCTGTGGCTCATGTATTCAAATTCCAAGTTTCCAACCACCCTGACTGCTGGTAAAGTAACAGGAAGAAGATGATTTAGCCACATCAGTCAAGATGTAAATGTTCCAAACAACAGTTTTGAAGAGAGCTTCTCTCAAACTTGGAATATCTAATAACAAAAATACTGAAGGACAACCTGCTGGTCAGCTGTGCTCCAGGCCATTTAAGGAGCAATTTAGAATGATTTTAAGCTCCAGAATCACTTGAATCCAAAAAAGAACAGGACCTGCTAGTGTTTGCATGCCACAGTGCAGGATCAAAGCAATAGCAGCCGATATTTGATAGGCTTCTACTAAAATTTCACTGACAATCACACTGAAGAACACTTGCAGTGCTGCCAACCTTCGAGACTACTTGAGATCTCATGACTCCTGCAAAAATTCTTTCAGTCACATTACTCCAGAACAAGGCTTTAAACAGAAAAATCATTTGCTGTGCAGGTAATTGTCCTTTGTTGTTATGCTTGTTGGGAAACGGAAAATACATGGCCTAATCCCTTTTCAGATTTACCACATAAAGGGCAAGTAAAAAGCAAAACACTTTTTCATAGCCACCATCTCCAAGTGAATCTTCTAATTTCTGGATTCTGCCCGGTTATGTTGAAGGTATTTCTGATGGATGACGCTGATGTGTACTGCAGTGTGAACCGCTATGACAGTGCAAGCAGCACCAAGCTACTTGTGGAAGGACCTAGCACTTGCAATTACAGCCTCATCCACTAGATGTCTTGTACAGACTTCAATATCTAAATCTTTTAATATACCATATGGGCATTTAAGATAACTGCATTAGACAGGCCTCTGCATTTTTTTTAATCAAAGATGTTAAAATAAAGAGATTGAACACAAAAATATTCTTCAGAGAAAGATTTTAAGTCCAAAGGTTATCCTGACAGAGGGCTTTCCATTTGCAACCAAGTTAACTCAACTTTGAATATATATTTTATTTCTCTCAATTACTTTCAAATACATGGATATTTATGGAGTTTGGCCATTCTTAAAATAGGCTTTAGCAAAAGTCTCCCATATATTCTGACATCTAAAAGGCCAATGTTTTAAAGAAATACTCAAAGTTAAAAAATACAAATTTAAGTATCGTTATAATTAATAAAGCTAAGAAGGATTATAAAATACATAGCACTAGAAAACTAAACATTTTACTTATTTCCTGATAATCATTATTTTATACCATCTGAGGAAAAATATGCCTGACACTCATGTTTTGAGATCAGCCATTTGCAGTCCTTCCCTTAAAAAACAAACAAATGAGTCCTTTAACCTTTAAGGTCAGCTGTCAGCTGAACTCCAGTCAAAGCCCCAGCCCACCAGTGACAACTCTGGTCAGTCCTTACACTGAGGCCAGGCCCTTAATGCAGTAATGAGTCAACTTGATGCCTGTGCCCAGAGCCACCCCACGCGGGTATCAGGCAAGAGCTGCTTAAGCTGCTCTTAACGCAGAGTGTGCCCCTGTGCATGGGCCATCGTTTACTCCAACATGACAAGCTGCAGGATGGAGTCACCGGGGCTGAGTGATCATCCAATAACATCCAAAGATGATATTCTGCCTCATGCGTGGTGCCCAAGGCAAATGACAGACTCAAGGACATGCCAGCATAGGCACAACACAGTAAAAGGCACAGGAAAAGCTCTTTCTCCTACACATGCAGCAGTGCATCTAAACACCAACTAAAGAAGTGAAATTAAGTACTTGAGGCACAAGTACTCTTGACACAATTATTGGTGAACAGCAATTCCTCATCAAGGAAAAGTCACAGAATCAGATGGAAATGCCCTGAAAACCAAATCCAAGCCACAAGAAGGCATCATTTACTTTCACATAATCACAAATTGGTTGAGGTTGGGACTTCTGAAGATCATTTAGTTCCTCACTCCAGCTACCCACCTCGCTTAAGCAGGGTCATGTTGAACACCCAGGCTGCCCAGGACCATGCCCAGAAAGCTTTAGAACATTCCCATGGATAGAGACTCCATAATTTCTATGGGCAAACTGTCACTGTTTTTAGTTTCTGCCCTGTCAGGAGGCACCACTGAAGAGCCTGGCTCTGTCCCTTTTATACCCCGCCATGAGATACATATGTTGACAGGATGCCCCATGCCATCTCTTCTCCAGGCCAAATAGTCCCATGGCTTTCAGCCTTTTATCACGTCACAGATGCTCCTGTGCCTTAAGCATCTTAGTGTCTACTTGCTGGATTTTCTCCACTTGCTCCAATAACACCATTATCTCTTTCCTGCTGAGCCCAGAACTGGACGCAGCACTTTTCAAACACTTTGCTATTTTGTCAGGTGCCTGGATGAATCAAGCATCATCACCATCAGTGCGGTTGAGGTCGGAAGGCATCTTTAGTTAACACCTAGTCCAGCTCTCCCTGTCAAGCAGAATCACCTAGAGCACCACACAAGGGGAAAAAGTACATTCTTCATAACAACATTTTTGCAACTTCTCACTTGTTTTACTCTACTGCGGAAAGTTGACAAAAAAAACAACTGGTGAGGGTTGTTAAAATGTTCAGGGAAATATGGTTTCAACTTTCAACTTACCTAAATTCAGAACATAAGACATATTTTTTTCCCAGTTATTTCAAGTGCATAGCTCAGTTCACAAAAACTTTACTATAAAAATGTGCATGTGTCTACAGTGCATAAAAGCAATGTCTGTCTAGCTTGGGATTCTGTATCCAACGTGTGCTTACAACACAGAGCTAGGGAATCAGATAAGAAAAGGGCACATGTACTGATGCTCCCTCCAATATATGCTTCTCCACCTCCAGCAATTTCTACCTCAGCAACTTCCTGAGACAGAAGTTGCATCTTGGTGCTTTTGTAATACTCAATTACTCCTCTGAACATTTAGCTAAACCCTCTTTCCAGATTTTATGAACTGTGCAAGTTGCTATCAATTTCTGCAAGATCAGGACTGTCAAGTACTAGAAGACAAAGTGCTCTGTTTTTCCAGGCAAAAAAAAAAAAGCCAGAGAGAAACAGATTTAGTTCTATTTACAATTTGTAGTGTTGTAACATATGCGCATATAAACTATAACATAAGCCTTAACTACATAAAGAACCTTACAGAATTACTGTATAAATTAGTTATAAAAATGGAAAACTGTACAAAATCATTTTCAGACCTGCTCTTGTTCCGATTGTTCATTGTACCTGTATGAAAGCTAATGACTCCGTAGAGCCAGAGTGACTCTGTGTTGGAATACACAAACTCACGACTCGGCACCTTCTGCTCTGACCGCTAAGCAGCACAGCAGGTCTCATTTTACGCTTCCATGTGGCATTTGTTACTTCAGTTTCTAGGAGAATTTTCATATTTATGAAGAAAAAACACGGTCACCAAATTTTTTAGTTTTCTCAGTTACATGACACACTGCAGAGACATGCAAAATGCAGCTTCTGCTAATTAAAAGAAGAAAAAAATCTCATCAAACACTAAGAGAGACAAGACACAATGGAGTGCAATACGGTTGTGACAGGTGAATTCTAGGTGTGATGTGCAACTGCCACAAAATACACTGAACAATGTTACCTCTGTGAGGGATCCACAGGGCACTCCTCCATGCAAGACTTTATCCAAACCGTGCAAGCTGGTGGACAAGAATGCTGAGGAGGGATTGACAGCCCTCCTCACTTTCATTTCATAAGCCTGAAACAGATGGGAGGGAGAAAAAAAAATCAAGTCAAGAAAAACTTTTATTATTATTATTATTATTAATTTTTAAACTCCCTGGAAGAGCGAACTCATTTACTTTATCGACCTAAAATGACTTAGCACTTGCCAATAAGCATACAGTTTTAATCTTCAGCTGCACTGCCTTCTTTCCCCATCACTTCTTCAATCACATTTTATCCCATTTACAGCTTTCAGAGCACATTTTAAAAGTTTGTTGCATCCACATAAAGGTCTTATACTCCCATATTTGATTTTTTTCCACACCGTAGTATTAAATCAAAAGAAGTATTTTACAATTATATTTCTAAGTGTTGTTGTTTGTATTCACCAGGGCTTGCTTTTAACCCATAAAACTACAACTTTTAAATGAGGAAACACTATACATGTAGTTAGTATGAAGAACATTCACAGAGAAACCTAAAACCAGAGTTTAGGTCAATGTTCATTAGGAATTCAAATCTATCTAGGTTCAAGAAAAGATTCTTAAGTCTTTGAACAAGAACTGAGCAGATCCTGTAGCCATTCATTTTTTTTTATTATTCTTTTTGTGAGGAAGGCTAGTTAGGGAATTAGATACAAATAAAAGGGTTGAATTCCAAGTTCCTCGGTTGACTAGAATTGTCCCAAGATCAGTATTCCAGTTCACCAGGATTATATTCGTTTTGGGAACCAATTTAAACCAAAGAAATAATAGAAAGGGAACATTGATCTGGAAACACCAAAACATGATGCTTTCAAAAGAAAGGTCTTTTATGGACCTTGCAAAATCTGCTAAGACCAGCATACTCCTTAATTCAACCATTGAGCATTAGAAGTTTTTGAAGTTTATCAGAAAAAAAATCCAGACAGTTATACCAGCAGGCTAAGACAACTGTCAGAACTATCATGAAAAAAAAAAAAAGGCACAGTTTTCCTCTCAGTTATGAGAGGAAATGTCTAGAGTATGGTTAGAGTAATACTCTAATTGAGTAATACTCAAAAATCATTCAGATCTCCGCTCTTCAGTTCTACTGAGGAAAAATTTACAAGAAGAAAAAAAAATAGCTCTCAGGACACAAAACAGGCCAAAATAAAGCCAATGAATTTTACTTTGCTCAAATCTGCATTTAGGCTCAGAATAAACTTGAGGAGTGAATGTAGTGTGGAATATATTTTTCAATTTAACAATTTTTGTTTAACCTATGGCAGAACTTAATCCCTGAACTGTACCATAGCAACAGATAATCACCTAATCCAGCTTTCCTACATAACACACACCCTAAAATTTTATCTTGTGTTTTTAATCTACAAAATTATAGTTGAACCAGAGGAATCTTGAGAAAAAATAAGAAAAATCTAAATAAGGAATCCAAGTGAATGTATATTTACCTTAGACAATCTGTTCCCATGGTAAACCCTCCTAGTTGCTAAATATTTTATTTTTTCCTCTGTTTCCTCTGTTTTAACAGAACATTATTTATGTCAAACTTAAAAAAGAAAATAAAACCCAGCCATTTGTACTGCAGCTAACACCCTTCTCCCCAGTTAGATTAGATGTGTCCTAAAACACTTTATATGCTCATTTACATGGAGGGAAAAATTGCTCCAAACAAAATACAGTACTTTCAGGATCACTTCACTTCTTGTCTAAAAGCCAGTTTGTACTGAAATTCTCATTCTTTGCTTGCAGCAAACATTTCCTAGAATTGCAGGGCTCAAAATAGAAGCAACTCATATACACACTGAAATGCAAGACAGAATTCCATACTTTTCTATATTACTCCAAAACAATGCTGCAAGCCTGAACAATATCTTTAGGCTATAATGCCTCATAAAAGGCACTGCATCAAAATATTGTGTAATCAAACTGAGATATGACAAACATATGCCATTTTCCCCAAGGTAGAAAGAAAAGGCACATTATTTAGCTTTCTCTCAGGCACAGAATTAAAAACAGAGTCAATGCACGCTTACTTACTGTCTGCATTTTGGGAGCACAAGCTAGGCTGACTTTACAAAGAAGCTTCTGCACATTGCTGTAGCTCTGCCCCGTCACCTTCATTAGCTCCAATAGTGAAAGACATAAAAAGTCCTGTAAAACAATACAGCAGTTCAGAGAACTCAACCTAGGTACCAAGGCTGGGAACTAACATGATGCAGTTTACTCGTAACTGTTTTATGTGCTTTATACGAGATTTACAACCATACAACATTATTCAGTGCTATGCTATACCTCTCCTACCTTCCTCTGATACCAGTAAGGTTACAGTAGAAGAAATTTTATTCATATTTTACAAGACAAGAGTCAATGGATCAAAAATATAAGAACTGCCTGATACAACTGCAATGAGATAACTTCGCCTTGCCCTCCCCAAAGTCTCTACATACCTGAAAAACATTCAGATTATAGTGCATCTTCCACTCAGCAAACTCAGGGCTAGATCCTATATTTCCCATGCATTGTAGGCGACTTAAGCGAAAGGATCGCTTGGCTTTCTTTAGCAAGTGTTCACAAGAAAGACTTCAGGATATATCCCTGATCAGCCAACAAGACACAGAATAACACCTCCCTACATTCAGGGTTTGATCTGAGCCCAGAAAATAGAAAAGTATCAACGTCACTTGTAATGAACATGCTCTTCATACACTAGGTATGTGATACAGGTATATTTTATGGGGCACTTATGTGGAGTATGGCATCATACTCCACACAGGTGGCAGCTGTGGCCCTCCATTAAAAGGGAGGCTTTAAAGTTTCGTAGAAGGAAAGGTAAACATTTAAATGTTTTAGTTAGGCATCTATTGCTTTAAAACGCTATTTTTACAGGACAGCAGGCAAGACAAAGCCTTAAGTGCCCCATACTTTATAGAAAGCAAAGCTTCAGGCACATTGTTTTGAAAAACAAAATAAACAGTACTGGAAATAAAACACAAACCCATCCTTTCACCTGACAGGTAGTGATCTGATGGCGACCCAGCCTTTCACACAGCTCCGGAGACAATTTTGCTCTTCGCAGTTTCTTAGCAGCCATTCTCCCTTATCTGTGGGGGAAAAAAATGTTTGAAAAAGGCCTATACAGTCACCCTGCTACATGCATCGTAGCAAGTGCTGTGGTAAATTCCACAGCAGCTGGAGAATATTTTATTTGTTGTTTTGAGATGCCGGCTTAAAGAATATCCACTTAATTCAGAGAAGTCCTAAAACTGTTGTACACAGCAGACAGTTATCTGACATATTATCACAGTGATACTTTCTTTCCTTAAAAATAGTGCAAACCCCAGCCATTTCTGCTTGTCTCTGTGTACAGTTTTCCTGCCTATCCATCCCAGCGAGCAAAATCGCAGCAGGCACCAGCACTCGGTCCTGCGCCTGGCTCCTGAAAGGGGAAACACAGCACAACCACCTGAAGCACCCACTGTCTTAAGCTCGGCATGTGTTAAAACACCTGTATATACTCTCACATATACTACTAGGGATTATTCCTGGTATTTATTTAGTTAGAACTTCAGGTCAAACAAAAAGGGGGAAGTAAAAAGGGAGAGGGGGGTGGATCTCCCCGACCATACTCTGGGTTGGCGCAATCACCCATCCCTGCTGTCGCTGCGTGGGGGGGGGCCCGCTCCGGCCTCCCGGGGCTGCGGGGCCTCCCGGGGCTCCCGGGCCGGCCGCGCGCCGCTCACCTGGGACCTTGGCGAGGCGCCATGAGGCGGCTGGGAACACTGAGAGGCGAGATGGTTGTTGTCATTAAAACATGTATAATTTGTATATAAATAACGATACTAGCAAAACGATTCTCTGGAATCAGTACTTCATTTATACGCGAAATGAAGCACACCCAAAGTGCAGAGGAGGCCCCCTCCTTAAATCCTCCAGCGGAGCCAAAAATCAGGGCAGAGCTTCAGCAAATGGTGGGGGGAGCAAGAAGAGGGGAGACAGGGGGAGAACAAGCTGCTCCTAGTGCAGCAGGGCACCTGCTTGCCTTTAAAAGTGGGCTCCAGTGGTGCAAACTGGGGCCTGAGGGGAGGCAAGGGGCGTCCTCTGCCTGGTGACCTTGTCCAAGTCCCTTAATCGCAGAGTATCCGCTTTCCTGCTCCTTCCCGGCTTTACCCGTTTGGGCTGCAAGCACAGCAGAGCGCCTGCCGGAGCAAACCGCTGCCGGCCGTGACACAGCAGGGCTCTGCTCGTGTCACAGGGATTCCTGAAGCCTGCGGATGTTGACTTCCCAAGACCGCATTAATTCACATTAATTTAAGAACCTCTTAAGCGGCAGCACTGGAGCAAGGCTCTTGCAGGAAGGCTAGGCACAGCAGCAGCAGCAAAGGCCGTCCTGCAGAGCGGGGTGCTCCACACACACCAAACACACCAACTACCATCCGGGATACAGCTGTAATCCGCTTGCGAAGGGGCCGGGCCATAAGGACAGACCCTGATTTGAAGGGCGCAGAATGGAATAATTTACTAGGTTTTACCCAAATACATGTTCGTTGGTTAGTTAAAACTGCAGCGCTCCAGAATTAGTAATAGCAAAATATGTCTTTCTGAAAAGGAATCCACAAAACGGGTCCTTCCTCTAATCCAAGACATACTTTCGAGACCACCTTTGGATAACAGTTTAATAGTTTTGCATTCTGAAACATTTCAGATCGCTGAATTACAAGAAGAGCCTCGGACACAAGCTTGACAACCTGAGACATTGGCCACCTTCCTCAGGCCAATTAGTGTTTTCTAACCATGACTGCCTTAAAACGACTGCCAATGACTCCCCCTATTCAGGTTGTAGGAAGGTGTCTCCCCAGAAGAGTCCACTGTACAAGAGGATATCAATAGCTCTGAGTCAGAAGAGTCACCCAACCTAGCACCTTGTCACGGGCTGTAATAAGCAGTTCAAGAACAACAGCCTTGGAGGACATTAACCCATCTTCTCATTCTGGCTGAGCCCTCTGTTCCTCTGGGCAGTCTATGGACCAGATGAGTGCTTGTCACCAGGCTATTAACCTTTCTCCTCCTGCACAGGAAGGATTAAATTCAATTATAATGAATCCTTCTAAGGTATTAGTAAGGACCTGCATGGCTACACGTTTACACCCAGGAAAAAGAAGCTTTCCTCTCAGGACACTCGGAAGGCATTTCTCCATTGTCAACCTCTTCACACATGCTGCTGTGAGGAAAGTTTGGTATTATCCATCGCCCTGAAAGCCATTTCACAATTATTCAGGAGCAACATAGTGTTTTTGAAAGAGAGCGTCTGTACCTCCTGCCCTTTGTACAGTAAAGCAGAACAACTGCCCTCAGGGCTGCCTCACGGCCTTGCTGTGGTGGGCAGAGGGACCGATCCACCTGCACCTTACAGGTTTGAAAAACACATATACCTTTGCTTTCTGCCCCAAATACAGCAAACAACAGGGTACCTCAGGCTTTATTACACCTTTAGCCTCTCCTCTAAGCTGATTGCCCTCCAAGATCAGCTTCCTACTTCATTTAGCAACTACTTTGTTTACCTGCTTCATTTAAAGGGACAGAAGGAGTCATCAAGTCTGTGGCTTTTTACAGTTCCTTGGTAACTTTCGGTCAGACGAGAAGGCGATGAGCGGGTGAAGTGAAGCACAGCGATCGCTGCAGAGCCGTTGTTACCGGAAGCAGATCTTTACCGGCATGTGGTAAAGCCGTCTATCCTACCTACAACAAACCCGACCTCATCCTGCCTTTCGTAAGCGCCCTAAGTGACCTTTGTTTACAGCCTTGTCTTGGGTTTCTCTTTCCAGTGGTGCAGGAGCTGTCCCAGTAGTGATGCCTGCTCTCCCCAGGTGTTGCCACACTCACCACAGGATTTCCTGCAGCTTTCCATGGGGTGCTGAGGAATGGCAAATCCTGCAGCAGCAGAACCGGTAGGCATTTAGTAGCATTGCACAAAATACTGTTTGACCAATGTGATCCTTTAATCACCACTACAGCGTTCCTGCTAAAACATGGAAAAACTGCAGCCTACCCTTTTTTTTTTTTTCCAGAAACCTGAGCTATATTTAGTCTTATATGCTGTGAAGTAGGTTTGTTTCACAGTGACCAGCTATGGAAACAGACTCGGTAGTTGCGCAGTTCCCCTTGATAAGCAATATTCTCTGTGACTATGCAATCTAGCAAAGCTCCCCGTGATGCTTCACAGCAGCCAGCCTCTGCTGAGGAGGAGCAATTAGACTAAAATAATCCAAGCACCTCACAGCGATCAGTAGAAAAAGTACACGGTGCATCCCCTTGTAACCACGCACAGAATCAGACTCCACTTAAATTAGCACCTATGGTGCACCTACAGACTTGGTTTTGATGGATACAGTAGGACATCTGTTCCTTTTGGGTACAGGCTTTACTGCATCTGCAGAGTTCATCAGAGCAGGTGGATGCCACAGGAAGTTGAGTTTTTGTTTTTGGACAACAGCAACAGAGGAGGATAAATCCCAGCTACTCATTTCTGTGCAGGTGCTAAAAATGGGAGTGCCCTACAAAGAGACAAAATCATTCATCCATAATGTCAAAAAACACCAATGTGAAGATTTTTGTTCAGCTCATAGCCAAAGAAGCATGTTCCAAATCAGCTGAGCTTTGTTTTTCTGGAACAGAATCCTCCACTTTGTGATGTTGCAGATTAATCACTTTGATAGCTCAGCAGCTGAACTGAGCCCAGTAGCTCTCATTTCAAACAACAAACGCCCAAACCAACAAGCAAACAAACACTGGAATGTTTCATTCCATGAATCATTTCAGTCTGGGGCCTTTGGTTCTTGCATGCCTCTCATGCTACTTCTTTTTAAAGCCCTGAATGAGATCCCTACTGCTGAGATTACAAAGGAAACTGTTCCAGATGTTCTCACAGTCCTAATTCCACCATGCTTCTCCAAAGCTATTGCTGAACTGTTTCCAAAGGTGCCTGAGCAGCATGAAGGCAAGAAGAAACCATCAAACCTGGCCAGAGGAAGCAAAGGGAAGTCTCCAGTCTCAGAGTCTTTGTGCTTTACAGATTTCTGCTCCACCCTGAAAGAGTAACACATCTTCATGTCAGGCACCTGAACACTGCTCACTCCCACACTATGTACAAGGAACTTGGCAGTTACAAACAAGATGGGACCAGAAACCCCTACGCTGTATCTTAATGGTGTTAAAGAGCAGATGCAAGAGATCTGGGTGGATAATTATAGAACGATTTACCACAGATAAAAGACATCAGATTAATTGCATGGATCCTCAGTGCTCTTTTTTTTTTTTTTTTTTTATTCCTGAAACATAGCAGTTCTTACTTGTTTTACTGGGATGGGCATACAGGAATAGTATATTCAAACATCACCCCAGTGCCCCACTACCCTAAACTCAATTACTATAGAGAGTATGCGGGCAAGCCTGTCTGCCACTCACTGTTTGGGCATGATGCCATAGCTGTGATCACATTATCCTGGCCCTCCATTGACTACTCATGACAAATTAATTTTTCTGTCACAGCTATTTTTTGAATCAGTGCAGCATATTATATTAAATGAACTATGAAGCAAATTAAGCATATACTTAATCGAAGTAAATAGGACATTTGTACAGCAAGAAGCTGAATGAATGACTGGCTATTCTGCTGAACGGAGGCCCTATTAATTGTCAGATAACTGAGATTTAGTTGCAGTGGTCGTCAGGATATGGGCTTAGAAATCTGCAGCAAGCGTCACAGTGCAGTCCAGTCCAGTCTCTGAAGCGTACTTCTCCCAAACTTGGGCTCTTTTCACACGCCAGAGCAAAAGAGCGTTGAACGGGTAAGCTCCCAGGCTTACAGACCAAAGTGCACTGTAAGGAAAGATGCCTTGCACCTTGCAGAAGATGAAGCTGCATTTGTGACTGCCCTTCATTATAGCTCAGGACTCATGAGAGGGTTTCTTTTGACTGGCTCTCGTTCACCCTGCACTGAGCTGACTGTATCCTTGCCTTTCAGCAGGGACTCACCAACCCAGACACTAAGGCCAAGTGATTTTTAAAAGCCGCTGATATGAGCTGGCTTCATTT